TATAAAAAAAAAAGTTAGAAACAATTTGTTACCAAACACGTAAAATTTTTCAAAATTTAAGATACAACAGAAATAAATGAATCCTACATAATTATAAATAATAAAAAAAAGATTTGTTAGCATGTTTAAAAAAAAAGTATACAAACAAAAATGATAGATAATTGAACTATGACTGAAATTTTTAAAAACTACCTCTGTACAAAAATAAAATAAAATAAAAACTACCTCTACAAAAAATTTATTTTGTGACCATGATTTGTGTGTTTCTATCGTTTTTCTTTTGAAAAATGATTTAAAGTGTGTTTCTATTACTTTTTTGTTTTTAAATAATAAAATCAATACAAATAATTTGACAGATACAAATAAAAGATGTTGAGCTCTTCATACTAATTTGACAGGTACAAATAATAAAACCAATACACTTGGTACTCATAACAGACCACCCACATGTTATTTTTCAAATTTTGAACCCACCATCAACATATATATAATTCTAATAGATTTAACTATAGAAAACAGATTAAAATGCAATACAGAAATACACTGCAAGAAATTGAATAGAAATCATGGTCTTTATGAAACAGTCAAGGAAATCTATTTGTTGATCGAAATAAAATTTCCCGTTGAAGCTCTTCATAGTAGGCCCTTTGCATAGGATTTAAATTTGTCATTTCCATTAACATTATTTATGATCCTCATTTCATTGTCCTCTTTCATTCATTATAAATAATATTTTTAGTTGTTCCTCCTTATCCTCGGCCCTTCTTCGACGCTCTGCAGCCTTCTGTTCACAGTCTATCACCTTTTGTTCATCTCGCTCAACAGTTCTAGCATAGATAGTTGACAATACTTTAACAATTTTAGATTGGTTAGCAGTCATTTCATCAAATCTAACATCATGAGTTGTTCGATTCTTCAACTTCTCTTTCGTAATCTTAGTACCAATTGGTCGTGTTGATGTATTAGTCAGTTGTTGATCCTCTGCAATATTGTTGTTGGGTTGAAAAGTCTCACCTTTAGTTACTGGATTTGAAAATGGATATGCTTGTTATGTGGCTTTTTTTGGTTGTGTTCTAAATTCTTCCCGCTTACAACTTTGGCGCAAAATATCTCAACTTGTATCAAATATGAAGTGTTTTTTTCTATAATGCATGATACATGCGCTTAGCTTCAGCATCCTAAAACATGAAAATTATAAACATTTCGATAACAAGTAGACTGAGCACTAAGAAAATTGATATTTCATAATGTGGGGATATATTTTCTGAGTACCAACACGTGGCATGGTGACGTCGACGTGCCACGTATCGTGGTAGTTATGCCGAGGTTATCTTGGATAGGCCGAGGTTGACTCCAAAGATATCGGAATCCGAGATAAGCGGATAAGGGACAAGAGTCCTAGAATGAAGAGGGAACTCAACTTGGATATGGACAAGAGACCTAGAGAAAATAGAAGACTTTTGCTAAGATAAGGATAAAGCTCTTAGGGAGTTTATCTTTATCTCTTGAGGAATCCAAAGTAAGTACTAAATTGGAGTCCATAGAAGTCAGGCTTCTAGTAGGACTTGGATTGAGTAAACTATAGAAGAGAGGCACCCCCATGGGTCTAAGGTACACAGTTTTATATCCAAGCTTGTGAGTTTAGCACTTGATTATATTTGAGAGATATACTGACTTGATCGTCGGAGTGCCCCCGGGTGGAAGAGCCACCGCCGGAGCCTTTTCTTTTTGTTACAGGTCTGTTGAAGCCATCTATTCTGCCGGTACTCTCCAGCTGATTACTAGGCGGGCAGTGTGGTCAGAAAATTACCCACACACATAACATAAATGAAAATTACCATGTATGCATCAGTTGTTCCACTTTGTTGCCTCAATTGGATTTGCTCAAGAAAGTCACAGAATTTATTAATTGCCTTTTGCATGATAAACCAACAATGAGACAAAGAAATACGGTTTCGATTTGATTCACCACTCAATTATGAATTAAAATAAACGAGTACTCATTCTCAGAATATTGTCATAGTCTGACTATTATCAGTAATGGGATCTTGAGAGACGGCCAACCAAGATCTACATAAATTTTCATCTTCTATAATGAAGAACGTTTTGCCACGAGAAAGACGAGAAGTTTCTGAAATAAAATTAATATTAGTATTTTGCTCTGAAGTTTGTGATTCCTCAAACATTTCAAAATCTTCCATAGTTGTAAGAAAATTCAATAGGATACAACATCTAACACAGACAGTGAAATATATTGTAAAAGAAACAACAAAAGAGGTGGAGATTGAAGTTAAAGAAATAATATACATTGAAGCTCACATAATGAGAAGACAAATGAAACAAAAAGTGAAGATTGAAGTTAACCAGAGCATAAAGAAAATGGAAATTGTAATGATATTGTGAAATTAAAAACAAAAAGTGAAGATTGAAGTTAACCAGAACACAAAGAAAATATAAATTATAATGATATTGCGAAATTAAAAGACTGGTAGACTCTTTTTTTATAGACTACAGTAACGGTAACTTTATCAAATCCTCTGCCACACTAACGGTAACCTTATTGGAGTTGCACTTGCTGAACGGCTAATTTTGATACAAATTTAAATCTACATGCAATGCATTTCCCTCTACTATCCATGGATCAATGTTGAATTTATTTTTGGTGCCACAAAAGCAACCAACTTTTCAAGCCAGTTCGCAGTCCAAACCATGGCTACTGCTCTGTATTTTCTGTGCAACCCAGACGACCGGGGAGACAATCTGTCGGTCGTCCGGTGGGACCCACTTCCAACGTACATTCAAAATAAAATGGTGAAATCGACCCCAACTTCTTAGTTTGATGAAAATTTTGGACCGTTTTCAATTTGATATCATTTTGATGAAACTATTGGAGACAAAAAAAAATTGTCATTTTTCATCAAATTCAAATTTGGTAATGAATCTGGCAAACCGTTGGAGATGGCCTTAGAATGCTCGATATCAAATCAAAATTTTTACTCAAATTTAATTAAAAAAAAAGAGTAAATGTTGGAGATGTCGTATGAGTCAACCTATGAAATTTTATTTGTAATTTAAAACCTATGAAATTTTATTTGTAATTTAAAATTAAAAAAAAAAAAACAAAGTTACAGTTGGAAGAGAGAGTTAAATGGGTTTTTTCTCCACAAACAATGGCAAATTACCAAGAAACCATTTGTTTACATTCAAAAGTCCTATAATGTTTTTCTGCTTCTTAGCCTTTGTTCTTCTCTGTCTCTTCCTCTTTCTGGTTTTTAGCAATCATCGACGGGTAACCACATCTTGTTTTTACTCTTTTTCTTTCTGATATATAGTCACCAGCGACCGACGACTACCATCGATTGGGGTTCACCGACAACCACCAACCGTCAACTCCTTACTTCACCCTCACTAATGGTGAAAAAGATATGTTTCCAACGAAGAAGATGAGTAGATCTACTTAGATCTTATGTAGATCTACATCAGATCCGACTAGATCTAAAAAAAAAATAGTTGTCGGAGTACAATCCTCTATCTATATTTGCCTCTCTCTTTTGTTCTCTTTATTTTTTTATATTTTCTCTACTATACACTTTTATTTTCCTGTTTTAATGGATAAAATTTTTGAAGTTCTGAAAAAGTTATTTTCGAGTTTTAGTTATAGGTTGTGAAAACTGTAAAATTTTTCAGTTTCAATTTTTTTGGGTGGTGGAATGAATCATGGTTTAAAACTGTAAGATTTTGCAGTTTCATAACATTCTTTAGAACTGTAAAATTTTGTAGTTTCATAACATGTTTTTCAGTTTGATTAATAAGGATAAATGCTTAATAGATTTTTGCTTTGAAACTGTAATACTTTACAGTTTCAAAACTTGCTTTTCAATTTGATCAATATTGGAGATTATTTGCTTAAACCTTACAAAAATTAAAAATTAACATATTTTTTTTCCCATTGCTTCTATTTTTTGTCGTTACATCTTTTTCCCCTTTTACTTTATTAATATTTAGCAAATTTTACTATATTTTTTCGCTCTAATTTCTCCATTTATTATTTTTTTTGGAGCAATATTCTGGACATTCCGGTGAGTCTCCAACGATATTCTTAACGTCCAGTGAACATTCTGGACATTCCGGCGACATCCATTGACGTGCAAAACACTCCGGTGAACTTCCGACGATATTTCGATGACTTCTTGGTGATATTTCTGCGATTTTCCGATGATGTTAAATATTCCAATGAGTTTCAGGTGACCGTCTGACGGAAGTCAAACAGTAATGAGATGTAACAGTATTTGTAAATTAAATAAAAAAAGATTTTTTAGTGATAATTAAAAATATATATGATTAATTGATATAAATATTTTATTTTAAGATTAGATGAATTTTAACTTTGTAGATGGGACTTAGGCCCCGTTTGCTTGGAGAGTTAGAGAGGGGATTGGAATTGGTAATAAAGTGGGACCCACTAATATTATGTTTGTTTTCAGAGATGAGAAGGGAATTAATAGTGAGCTCCGGATTAGGATGGGCCTCCCCAAAGGGATTTGGATGGGCTTCCAAGACTTGGTATTAGAAAAATAGTCCGGTGGACTAGAAATTTTTTATTTTTATTTATTTTTTATTTTATTTTTAACATTTGGGCATTTTTTTTTAACATTAATATTTAATATTTTTGTATTTTTTATTAAGGAAAAATCATAATTTTATTTGTTTTAATATTTTATATTTCTTTTATAGGATAATAATTTAATAATCCCACACTAACAACTATTATCGAAACAAACACAGTTTTACTTAATTCTCTCACTATTAATCCGCTCACTATCAATCCCCTCTATTCTACCTTCGAAAACATATTTTATTATTTTATATAAAAATAATTTAATAATCACTACACTAACAACTATTATCAAAACAAATATAATTTTACTTAATCCCCTCACTGTAAACCCCTCCACTAACGATGCATTCACTATCAATCCCCACGAAACGGGGCATTATTGATAAGTTAACCCGAGGCCCTTCTCTTAGCGATCAAGCTCTCTCTCTCTCTCTCTCTCTCTCTCTCTCTCTCTGGATTGAGGACTTGCTGTTCCTATACCCTTGTCTCTGCAACCAACACCAATCGAATCATAGAAAGAGAACAAAAAGAAAAGAAAGAAAAAACTGTTCGATGTCAGCTTCTTCGACGATGGTGGTTGCTTCGAGCTCCTCCTGGGCTCGCGCCATGCTTCAGATCTCACCTTACACCTTCTCCGCTCTCGGCATCGCCATCGCCATCGGCGTCTCCGTTCTCGGCGCTGCTTGGTACATACATACATATATATATATATATATATGAATTTGTATATATGTATCTTCGGAATTTGGTTTTGATTTCTGAGCCCTTGATGTGTTTTTTTGATGTTGTGTTCAGGGGGATTTACATAACAGGCAGTAGTTTGATCGGTGCAGCAATCAAAGCTCCGCGAATCACTTCGAAGAATCTCATTAGGTAAAAACCCTAGCTCTTACTGACTCCTTTTTCCAGATTTCAATTAGTATCTGTTTTATTATTATATCAATGCCTGTGTGTGTATTATTGACTTGCTTTGATTTGATTGATCTTCGCTAGTACTAACCATTGGATTGAATGTGATTTAAGTTAATTCCGAAAAGGATTTTGATGATAAAATTTGAAATATGCAATGTTGTGATGCATAAAGATAAATCCACTGAATCAGTTTTGACTTTTGTTCTGAATGAAGTAAAACTAAAATTTGATGATGAACCCTAGATTTGTCTTCATGTGGCTGTTTTTTACTCTATTGTTTTGGAATCGTGGCTGTGGCTGTTGATCTGTGTTTATTCACGTCATGAACGATTCGTGCAAGTCATGCTACCACTTGTTACAATGAAAGCACCTCTTTTTTTAGCCTGATTGTCTGCTTTCACTATTTACTTTTAAGTACCCGATATAACTTATTATAAAAATAGTGGCCAATTGTAAATATTTAGTTTCTAGGCTCACTGAAGTCTATGATTTTCGGCTAGAATACACCCAAGGAAGTTGGAGTTAAATAAATAGAAACTAACCCAAATCATGGCATTGAGGAGGAGGGAGTTGTTTAACGTTCTTATTAATTGGTTATTTGAAATGGTCTTAGGGAGTAATCAAGTCAATTAATGGATCAGTCATCACCAGCAAATTGATTCCCTGTATGTCAATCCAGGGTTAAGCTTAGTTATAAAGTGCCTAGGTATGTATAGGCTGCTTAACTTTTACTCTCACAACCCATATGCACATTACAATTGGTGGTTGTGCTGAGTTAGAGTGAGGACCATGTACAAGAACCTGACTGGACAATCCGGGTTTAAACTTTCCAACTAAACAGTTCAATCTCATAGGTAGGCACTTGGTTCCTGCTCAAAAAAGTCAGGCCTAGGCAATGCTTCAGCATAAATTCTGCATAAATAGAAAATTTCCATGAAAGGGTATCTAGAGCTATGTTACTAAAAAACGCTAATACCCTAATGAATTACGTATTGGTACGCACCTTCCGAAATATGGTATACTTTCATTCCAAAACGGTAAATTTAGTAATTCAAAACGATCCCAAAAGCTTTTTTCAATATATTTCTTTAAATGTTACCTTAGGAGAAAAAAAAATCAAATATATGAACTAAAATCTACGATGAGTTAAGTTTTGATAAGACAAAAATATAAAAAAACGAGTCATAATTTTCACAGAAATGATTTGCTACATGATAATATATATTGGATACCTAATGGTTAAAAGAAAATTATTTTAGAAATACCTTAAATTCTTAAGTGTTATATATATGTATATATATATAGGTCTACTCCTATCGTATCACATTTTAGAGTTTATGGCGTACCACGTTCCCTTTCCCATTCCATGTACTAGAATGATCCACGTTCTAGGTAACATAGATCTAGAGTACACTTAAATGGCTGAAATTCATTTTCTCCAAGTTGATTTGAGGTGTACAGTGTATTCCCCTGCCATGCCAACATTTCATTGCTATCTAGGGGGAGGAAGAGGAACTATTGGTTAGGCAGAACAAATGATAACAGTGCAACGATTGCTATGCCAAAAAGGTGGCTTAAGGTTAGTTTTAGTCCAACTCACTGCTTAACATTTTGAGCCTTTTGGAGCAAGATTGAGATGGATGGGGAATTCAAAGGGTTCAACTTATAGAGGAGGACATGCTTAAAAAGGTGATTCCTTCAGTTCAGATGGGCATAATTAAATACTCTTTTTGGATCTGTCATATTTAGCTTTTCTCAACTTACATTAACTAGACTCTTGTTAGTTTCTACTCCCCGTTTAAGGGGATTCCACCTTTCTTTTCTTTTTTTCTTTTTTCTTTTTTTTCAAATTTCTAGGGATTGGAGGGTGGTGTGTCATGAGTAGGTGGCATTTTTTTAAGTTGTGTACTTGTCTTTTTCTCTTGTTCTTTCCTTGCCAGACTCCTTGTCCCCCTTTTCCTTGTACTTTTTCCTTTCTTTAATAAAATGTCTTCTGTTGCGATCCAAAAAAAAAAAAAACACTATGTAGATCTCCAGTTGAAGTTATTCTTTACTAAAGGTGGAACATAATTGTTGTTTTTTGTAAAACGTACAAATTTTTACTGCTTTTGCGAATGTGTAGTTGTCTGAGGAAAACAATATGTTTGAGAGAGAAAAGTCCTACAGTGTTTTAATAATCTTCATATCAATAAATATATGAACATTTAAAATATGAAATCAGGAACTCAAAGTTTGTGGTAATTGTGAATCATTTTGTTTAAGGAAACTGGATAGACTTTCTTGCTTTTTATTATTATTTGTTATTTATTATTTTTTGAGTGATAGACCAAACTCCTTTGCCTTTCGAGAAGAGCTGTTTTTAAATCCTTTTTTTGTTGACCTCACTGGACTTCCCTTGTGTTGTAATGATGTGTTTTCTAATATTTAATAGGCAATGTATGTACACAAACAAGAATGATATGGGAAAATTTTTATGTTCTCTTGTTCATGGGTTGCTTGAGGTGGATACTCAAAGCCCCGACAGTGTTGTAGGGATTAACTGCCTAGTTGGAGTCTTCCATATTTTTAATATAATCTAAATTGTCTACAAAAGTGAAACTATTTGAATTTTCTGTTCAAACAGTCTTCCTTCGTAACCTTGGATTTCTTTTTATATTATAAAAATGTAGTCATCAACTAGTGACAGAGCCGGAAATGTTTTTTAAGATTTTCTTCATTTTGTTTTCTGCATCTTCTGGAAAAGTGGGCAGATGTTGTGTTAACAATACCAGTATGCATTAAGCGACTTTCAAGTGGATCCTGCAATTTCTATACCCATTGTAGCAACTTTGTGCAAAAGGGTAGTAGTCAACTGAAGCACCTAAAACCTTGCCTTTGCCCTGTGGTGAGTGTGCTGGAATGAAGGGAAGTGAGAAGTGAAAGAGAGCTAGGGAGAGAACCTGAACTGAATGGGGAATCTAGATATACTTATATTAAGAAATAGTTCTTGTTGTTTGGGTCCGTACTTGACTTGCAAAACACTTATTCATCAATTTTTTAAAATATTCCTTTCTTTTCTTTTCTTTTCTCTTGCACTAAGAAGCATGGACACGTGACACGGCATGGACACATTGACATGGCAATTTTTTAAAAATGTAGGATATGGCACATGAGGGACATACACAAAATATTTAGTTTATCTATTTATTACATGTCATTTATATGAATATATCATTCAAAGATAACAAAAAATGCAATATCATACTAATTTTTATAAATTTACATTGTTTTCCTTTTATCATTATATCTTGTTAAAACCTATCACCTCATATAATTAATTTCATGTGTGTCTTATCAATGTACATGTCTGTTTAAATGATAGTCTAAATTTTTTTAAAAAATAGGACATGTTTTGATGAGTGTCGGACATGTGTCAGGAAGTGTCCAATGAGTGTCAGTGTCAGGATAACAAAAAATGCAATATCACACTAATTTTTATAAATTTACATTGTTTTCCTTTTATCATTATATCTTAAGTTATTTTGTTCAAACATATAATTAATTTCATGTGTGTCTTATCAATGTACATGTCTGTTTAAATGATAGTCTAAATTTTTTTAAAAAATAGGACATGTTTTGATGAGTGTCGGACATGTGTCAGGAAGTGTCCAATGAGTGTCAGTGTCAGTGTCCGACATGGGCACACCACCTTTTAAGAAGTGTTCGTGCTTTTTAGCTCTTAAAATGTCATTGAATGATTCCCATGTTCCATCTGCATGCACTGGCATGTTTACTCAAATCTTATTGAAACTTTCAATGATAAACCATCTTTTATTCACAATTTGGCAACAGAAAGTTTAATTTGTTTGGAGCGGACATATGTTCTAGTACTTTGACATCTGCTGTGAACCAATTTTCGATAAAGAGTGGTTAGTGCACTAGCATTAGGTGCCAATGTGTTCCTGTAGGTGATAAATGGATGTTATGCATTCCACAAAATCAAAACTAGTTGGTTTAGAAGTTCTTCTTGAGGGGTTGATTATTCATTTTGTCTTTGTAGTTCATCTCCTCAAAGTGCTCCCTTTTTTTATGATAGGATGCTTTCAATTTCCCTTTTACTTTGTTAATTGTTCATCATTGGTACTTTCAAGCAATGAGGAAAGTTGTGACAGTCGGGTCTTGCCATCTTGGAGGATGTTTTTCTTGTTCATAAGACTGTTATACCAAAAACTGGGCCCATGTCTTACTTTCTATTCCAGAAGAAAGTTATGTCTTTGAGAAGGGAGGGCATTAATCTCCATTTTCATCAAATATAATACTCCATCCCTATGTTATTAGAAAACGCTAATACCCTAGCAAATTACGCATTGGTACGCACGTTCCAAAACATGGTACACTTTCGTTTCAAAACGATAAATTTAGTGGTCCGAAGCGATTTCAAAAGTTTCTTTCAATATATTTCCTTAAATATTCTCTTAGGAGGAAAAAAATAAAATATAATGAACTAAATTCTAAGTTGAATTAAGTTTTGACAAGATAAAACATCAAAAATGGTCAAAATACTCGTAGAAATGTGTTGCTACATGAAAATAAATAAATAAATAAATTACATTTTATTATATGTCTAATAATTAAAAGAAAATTACCCAAGAAGTATGTTAAATTCTTGAGTGTAATATATGCAAGTCTACCCCATCGTACCACATTTTAGAGCATGTGGTGAACCACGTTTCTGTTTCCGTTTCCGTTTCCGTTCCCGTTCCCGTTCCCGTTCCCGTTCCACGTACCAAAACGATCAACGTTCCAGGTAACATAGTTCCATCCTTCCCATATCATGAGACTTTTACTCTATGAAGCATAGGTACGGGTACGAGTACTGGTACTGGTACGATACGGGTACGTTGATATGGTAAAATTCAAAAAAAATAGGGTACGGGTACGGCTTGGTACGTTAATAAAAAAATATTTATTTTTAATTTAGAGTAATGCAAAAATTAATTAAATGGTTTAATTTGTTAAGGTCCAACCTATAATTAACATTTAATGCCAAAAGGAAAAGTATAAATCAAAATTAAATGTCAATATATTAAATAACTTACAAACCATAGTTTAATTTTAAAATCATGTTAAGTATAAAACAAAAATTAAAAAAAAAATCTAGTGAAGTGAGTTTTATCTCTGTAGTAGAAGGAAAATATTGTTTCAACTGAGGTACGGTACGGCTTAGATATATACTAAGTACGTCTGGGTACGTCAAAAATTAAGAAGAAAAAACTTAGGTACATGTTTCGTGTATCCGGTACGTATGCAGAAGTACCATACGAGGTACGGTACGCCGATACGTACCCGGTACGGGTACAGCATGTTTTTCAAAGTACCCATGCTTCATAGCTTTTACTTTTTTCGAAGTCTATTTTCATAGTTTTGAAATTCAAATGTTTTAATAATGACTTTCCCGTATTATCTTCTCTATATTTAATGGAAAATCAACCTGTGTAAGGTTTAGCATGGAGGCTCATTTTCTTGTAATTTCCGGAGAATCAGCTGAAACAAGAGATGAACACATGCATACACGTGTACAGAGCAAACAGCATCACCTATTGAGATCTCCTCCTGACCCAACCAAAAAATAAAAAAAACTGGTTGTCTTCTCATATGCAACTCCTTTGCAAAGAAACCAAAATTCCCACGGCACTTATTGATTATAACTGGGATGAATTATTAAGGTTTCTATTATGTCTCCCTTCACAAAGTTTAGCCGAAGCACGTTTCATGCTTGCATATGGTGTGAGTTACAATTTCCAAGCAAGTATTCAGAACCATGTGGCTACAAAGAGTTAGTACATCTCCCAAGAAATATGCTCTTTTTTTCGGATGTGCTTTGGCCACCATGACAATGCCTTGCATTTCCTTTTTCCTTCATTTGAATTTCTTTCTGCATTCTTGTGACCAATTTTATGCTTTCTAGGAGAGTAATGTTTCTCAATTTTTTATGTGCTACCAGTGTGATATTCTGTGAAGCGGTTACTACTAATGCGTAATTGTGATTTGACTCAGTTTCTTAAATTATATGTTCTTAGTGTGATCTTCTGTGAAGCTGTTGCAATATATGGTGTTATCGTGGCAATTATTCTACAAACAAAGTTGGAGAGTGTTCCACCGTCACAAATATATGCACCGGAATCTCTTAGAGCCGGTTATGCTATCTTCGCTTCTGGGATTATTGTGGGCTTTGCCAACCTTGTCTGCGGGTTTGTCCGACCAAAATTTCCTCACAAACATATAATGGTCTATTTTCTTCTTCTTTTTTCCCCCTCCATGACTTGCACAATCTAATTTTATCAACTTTTGTTTTGGTTCAGGCTATGTGTAGGAATTATTGGAAGCAGCTGTGCGTTATCTGATGCACAGAACTCATCACTGTTTGTGAAGATTCTGGTGATCGAAATCTTTGGCAGTGCACTCGGTTTGTTTGGAGTGATAGTCGGAATAATCATGTCGGCACAAGCAACATGGCCTTCTAAACCAGTTTAGTCTGCTATTTTTGTCGGTGTCTGGCAATTCTTTTGTCGGTGGTACGTACAAATGAATGTACCCCAAACTATGTATCTTTGTTTTTTTCTCTCAATTATTTCAGTAGTAGGTGAGTAAGCTCTCGTTGTTGCCTCTTTCTAATATTAAGCTGCTTTTGTTGTGATTTGGAGGATGAGATTATGATATATTTTTTGATTTGTATTTAACTTTCTTTTGTTTTTAATCTGACCTGTTTGTAGGTTGAACCATATGATGCATGATGAATAAGGGCAGTTAGTCATAAATGGCCCGCAGTATTTTGTGTTATATAGGCACAACGAAGTTTTTTAGTGGTTTTATTCTCTCATTTCTGGCTGATGCTTTTCATCTTAAATAAGACTTTTCAATTGTGTATTTTTTATTTTTTATTTTTGTGTGGCTTTTTAGGTTGGGTTAGACCAGACAAATTTAAATTTTAAAAAAAAAATCAGAAAAAATCCACTAAATATGATAAAGAGTTGATTTCATAATTGTTTTTATTTATTTTCGGAGTCATCTAGTGTGTTAAGACTGCAAAAGTAAGGTTAAGTTTGGCATCTTTAAAAAAAATTAAAAAGTCAAAAAGTCACTATCCTATTTAAGTTATATCATTTTATTTAAGTCACATCTTTATTATGTCACTTCAAACTCAACTCATATTTTATAAAAAATTAAAAAGTACACTTATTTAGAGTATCTCAAACAACCTCTAAATTTATTTAGCGCAATATTAATTTTTTTTACCAAATTTAGAAAATGAAGGGAAAAAAAAAAGAAAAATTAATGAAACATTCCTCTCTAACTATGTAGTAGGAGAGATTTAAGATGTTTTTTTTATTAGCTAAGGTTTTTTAATATTTTTACAGAAAAAATTTGATTCAGAAAAATTTCGATTCCGACTTAAAGAAATTTCAATTTTTATAAAGAAATTTTAAAATTTTTCTGTGAATTGAAATTTTTCTGAGTTGAACTTTCTTTATAAAAATGTTGAGAAATTTTAACTATTATAAAAATATGGTATGTCATTTATTTTATAAAATCTTAATATTATAGATTTTTTTAAAAAAATTCCCAAAAAAAAAAATAAAGACAGGTTAAAGTCATCAGCCAACCTAGATTGCTGTGAAATTTAACCCATTTTTTGCGCACTCAACTAGATTGTTGAAAAAATGAATATGATTGATTATTAATTTGTAATAAGTCCTATCAAATTATCTCAATTTGCACCGAAGTCTAATCAAGTGTTATCTGCCCAACGATGAGTGTTATTTTCTTCTTCTGACGTGGGTTTGAGTTATGAGAATTACTCTCTCTAACCCCCTTCAAACTTTGGTGTGAAATGAGTTTTGTGCATACAACTTTTTAATAGAAGTGTGGAAAACTTTATTTATATATTTTTACCTTATTTTTTTGGACTCTTATTTCTTTTATTTATATTTGTAATTTTGATTTTATCCAAACATAAAATTACATATTTACCATCATTCCTAACTATAGCGATCCTGGTTTAAACATGATCCATTCATTATTTTGGATTCCGAATTTCTCGTCTTGAGGGTTGTTCATGTCTTCTTTCATATTATTCCTTGTTGAGTTTGGTTATTAGAGTGTTTTGATTGTGTTTGAAACTGGTTGGGAATTAGTTTTTCAAAACTGTTGTTGCCTAGATTTTGGCTCGTTCTCTCGAGCGAACTTTCTTGAGCTCGAGCGAATTTTGAGAACTTCCAGTACTTTTGTAGGTCTGCAAAACTACTGAAAGTATGACATTCTTAGCTCGAGCAGTGTTTTTTGCGCTCAAGTGGTCTTTTGGAACTCTTTTATAGGCCTGCAAAAGTAATAGGAGGGTGGTGTTCTTTACCTGAGCAGTCTCTCTTTTTTGTGTCTGGCCATCCGAGCGATGTTTTGGTCACTTGAGCGATTTGCACGTATATCAATTTCAAAAAGTCACTTTTTGAGTCACTTTTTCATATATATCTCTCTCTCTTTAAACATTTCAAAACCCTAAATCTAGACCCTCTCTCTCTAAAACTCACATTCAACCTCCAAATACTCTTAATCTATAGATCTCTATAACCTAGTTCCTCTATTAAAAAGGTAGAGCTCACTTAGAATTTCATTATAATCACAAAGTTCGTTTTCGGCTTTGTCAAGTTTTAACTCTTGTTCATCTTGGCCCTTGTCTTTGAGGTAAAGATTTCTCTACACTTTAGTATGGTTTTCAACTTAGTTATTTGTCTTTTCAAAGAAATCATAGGATTTGGGGATTTTGATTAAAAAAAAAAAAGCTAGAGTTTTGGTTTGAAATCAAAAGAGTGGCTTTCAAAATGCGTTCTTAAATATGAACATGGGTTTGTATATGTTGTTGAGTTGTGATGAAATTGTAGACCTTCTCTCTCTAAAACTCACATTCAACCTCCAAATACTCTTAATCTATAGATCTCTATAACCTAGTTCCTCTATTAAAAAGGTAGAGCTCACCTAGAATTTCATTATAATCACAAAGTTCGTTTTCGGCTTTGTCAAGTTTTAACTCTTGTTCATCTTGGCCATTGTCTTTGAGGTAAAGATTTCTCTACACTTTAGTATGGTTTTCAACTTAGTTATTTGTCTTTTCAAAGAAATCATAGGATTTGGGGATTTTGATTAAAAAAAAAAAAGCTAGAGTTTTGGTTTGAAATCAAAAGAGTGGCTTTCAAAATGCGTTCTTAAATATGAACATGGGTTTGTATATGTTGTTGAGTTGTGATGAAATTGTGGATTTTTATCCTTAGAGTTGATTTTTGAAGAAAGGGGATTTTGCCCTAAATTGTAAATATTTGATTTTGTAAAGAGAAATGAAATTGATGTTGGTTTTATGAAATTAGATCGATGGTGATAATGATAGTGGAGTTGGATATGAATTATCACTCCTGTTTTTGAAATGTTGGAAAGTATATTTTTATTGGAAATTAATTATCTGTTTAGAGATATATGTTTGGACTATCGATGGAGGATAATTATGATTGTTGTAGAAATTGCATAAAAATTAGGTGAATTAAAACTAATTTCTCATTCATTTGCATTGAGTATTGTAACATATTTAACACATTAAAAATAGTTGTTGTTTTGAGAAAAAAATGGCAAATACCTTAGTGAATCTGGGTAGGAAGTATAGTTGTGGTATTATGTTAGCCTGTATATCTTTGGTGAAAGTCCAAAAACTCACGTGGATAGATGCCGAGCCTTTCGATTAGTACCGGTAAAAATGGCAATTGGTAGTGCTTGTAGCCTACTTGCAAACACATCTTAGAGATTCCTAGTGTTGTGTCCACTGCTCTGTTTTCTATTGCAAAGCTAATGATTTCTTGAATTGTGATGTAAATTTGGAATGCATGGTTTTGGAAAGAGATGTAAAATGTTTTGGCATGAGCATTGCATATGCATTCACCATATAACTTTGTTAAGATTCATACACTGTGTTAGAGTTTCTCTACTGGGTTTCGGCTCACCCTATGTGGAAAATTATTTTCAAGTACTGATGATATGCCTCCGCCAAAATAGTAGCTTGGAAGGACTAAGAGCCAAGAGCTTCATTTTTGTTATTGTTGTATCTATTTTTGTACAAACCTAGAGCTTTATATGTATTGAGTTTAAACTTACTTTTGTTGTAACCAAGCACCATCTTGGAAAGTTGTAGCCATTAAGGCATTAATTTATCTGTTTTAACTTTTATTTCATATATCTTGCTTATGATATAAGTTATAGATTCAGGGTTAGGACTTGTGAATGTATAGTTGCATTTGTAATCTTTTGTAACTATTAATTCATATGAATGTAAAGATATCATATTCTGAAACGTATTGTTAATTGACAAAGATTGTGAGACAGCCTTATTGTTATATTTTTTGGGAATTACACTAACATTCTAGCCTTAATTTTTCAAACCCTAACCCACCAACCTTTTCAAAGAGAAAAGTTAGGGATCATGAAATTTTTTTCATGAAAATGATCATGAAAGAATTATGATCATTGGATTACCTTGATTAGTGTGTGGTGCTTTATTCTAAGTGTAATCCAAAGGTCACAAACCTTTCATGATTATTTTCATGAAAGGTTTCTCATGATACCTAGCATGGTTTCTCATGATACCTAGCATGACTGCTTTTCAAAACCATCTTCACCAGCGACCACCACTACCAGTGCACTGCCACTGCCGTTGGCGACCTCTCTTTCCATCTCCGGTGATTTCGCCACCACTGCGTCTCTTTCTCTCTCTCTCTATTCTTTTTCTCTTCATTTCTTTGTTTTTATTGCTCTGTATCTTCTCGACATCGCATCACTCTCCTCTAATGGTGAGGAACCTTGAAACGAAGATCACCTATTAAACTAGACCCAATACAGAGTTGGTTGTATCTACTTGGTTCTCATTTAGGGTTCTTTTCTCTAGATATATGTTATAGATTCAAGGTTAGGACTTGTGAATGTATAGTTACATTTGTAATCTTTTATAACCATTAATTCATATGAATGTAAAGATACCATATTCTGAAACGTATTGTTAATTGGCAAAGATTGTGAGACAGCCTTATTGTTATACTTTTTGGGAATTACACTAACATTCTAACCTTAATTTTTCAAACCCTAACCCATCAACCTTTTCAAAACCATCTTCACCAGCGACCACCACTACCACTGCACTGCCACTGCCGTTGGCGACCTCTCTTTCCATCTCCGGTGATTTCGCCACCACTGCGTCTCTTTCTCTCTCTCTCTATTCTTTTTCTCTTCATTTCTTTGTTTTTATTGCTCTGTATCTTCTCGACATCGCATCACTCTCCTCTAATGGTGAGGAACCTTGAAACGAAGATCACCTATTAAACTAGACCCAATACAGAGTTGGTTGTATCTACTTGGTTCTCATTTAGGGTTCTTTTCTCTATCAGTCGTGGCGAAAAAGGCGGAGAATACCAAAATGAAAGAAGGAGAGAGAGACATACCAAAGAGCTGTCTTTTGAGATTCTCTTACATGGTATTGTTTTTGCAAACGAAGATATATCCACCAACAATTTCATTTATGGGCAAAGACTCAAATGGTGGAAGAGTCTGGAACCTCTTATCCACACTATTCTTATTCCTCTTCAAGTATCTTCGAAGAAGCATATGAATTGCTCCAAATCGAATTGAAATCTGATTCGTTGATCTGCTTCGAATTGCTCGATGGGTTTATCGAATTGAGTTCGCCACCAACTTTGATATTGAAGTTCCGTTTCTCTTCAGGCCTTTTGGAGGCATGGGTGTTGCTCCAAATTGAGTCATTAAGAGAGAGATTGGCCAAGGTATTGGTCTGAATCCTAACACTAACAACAATAACAATGTTAATGCTGCTGTGAATTCGAAGAAGAATGGTAATACAAAGGGTGTAGATGATCATCATCAGCATTTTTGTTGAAGTCTTCAGTAAAATAGTCAATGGTTTTGGTGTAAGAAGAAAAAGAAAAGAGAGAGAGAGAGAGAAATTAGTTCTTAACAAAAAAAAAAAAAAAAAAAAAAGGAGGGGGGGGTCGCGGTGGTCGGAGGTTGTGGAAGAGTGGTTGCTAGTAGGGGAGGTGTTGGGAGGTCGCCGGAGGGGTGAAATATTAGATGGTAGGAAAATTGCAAAAAAAAAAAAAAAAGTTGGGGTCAAAAAAATGAGGGGTATAGTTTATTAAGGTGAGGATTCAAAAAGAAAGGGGATGTGATTCATTTTGCTAGGCGGGGATTCAAATAAATGGGGAGCCAAAGTAAAGAGGTAGGTGTTAATAGCAATCTTCTTTTTAAAATATATTTTGAAAATAATTAACTTTCTCAAGAAAAATGTATTAGCATTAAGGAATATTTGAGGATAAAATCTGAACTTTAGACACTAATACAAAATATTTAATCGTTTTAGCAGCACAATGCTCTTTCTAATTAAAATAACCACTTAAAGGTATGCCTTATTGTTTAATTTATAATTAAATAAAAAGTTATCAAAAGTTAAAACAAGATAACTCCATTATTATAATTATGAACTACATTATTATATTTTCCCCATAATTATTAACTACATTATTATATAATTAGTCATTCACAATTAAGTAATTAGATGTTTTGGATACAAAAACAAGATGACTCCCAACATAAAAAATAATTAAATTAAATTAATCTTGGAAATTTTAAATATTATCATTTTTTTTTCAAAAACAAAATTACCTAATTTAAAAATTAAGTTTGTTCAATACTATAGAAATTTGAATGAACTTATTTCAAATATACATATTTCAAATTTCCTATTCATTGACAATTTGCATGACTTAATAGGCACTAATTGTTTTAATTTTATTTTTTCTTTGTGAATATGAATTCGAAAGATTTTAAATATGGTAAAAATCTTAACAATATTCCAAAAAGAAACAAAATAAAAATTGTTGTAAAATATATGAATGGCCATCATTATCAAAATGAAAGTGAGAATTATTACTTCATCTCTGATTTACCAAAATTGTGAATGGCACTGTAAATCACAAAGTGATGAAAACCTCAAAAGCAATTTAAGCTATGTTTGGAACGATTTCCAAATAAGTTTTCTATTCACACATTTGAATATGATGTTTGGATAGATATGTGGAATTAATTTTCTACAACTCTACAGAAAACTCTGTTTGAGAGCGTGATTTTCAAAAAAAAAAATTGAAATTCGTCCTGACCGGACGTCCCACTGGTCGTCCGGTCGGTTGATCGGAACAGTGCACACTTTTTTTTTTTTTTTTGCAATTGATATGTTAATTTTTATATATTCGAAAAAAATATTTTCCGATTTTTTTAAAATTTTTTATGTGCTTTAATAGAATTTTGAGTTGTATGTTTGGTTATGAGTTGTAAATTTTTGTATCAAATATCAAATATCACATCAAAAATTTTCCACTTATTTCAAAATTATTTTCAAAACTCTTTCACCAAACAAATTTTCCACACTCAAATAATAATTCCAAAACTCACAACTCAAAATACAACTCATACTTTCAAATCATAGTTAGAAAGCTCTACCAAACGCAACCTTAAGCTTTCGGCGTCGCACTCAAATCTGATTGTTTATCTCATTGAAGGAGAAATTATACACGGTTCTCAGAATATTATATATTCATACTCCTTAATTAATTATTATTTATTTTGTTTTTTTATATTTCTCAATCACTCAACACAATATCTCACATATTCACATTCTCCACCAATCATAATATTATAAAATATTACGAGTTTATACTCCAAAATTACTTACGGAATAATTAAGATCTCATGGTAGGTTTGCCAATAAATACAAACCCACCCAATGTAAGAAGGATTACAACGAATAGAAGAACATATTCTTTTAAATCATATTGTACAAAAATATTATATCTTGTTAATTCATCACTCTTAAATTATTTCTAATGATGTAGCATTGAAATTAGACCTCATACGATGAAATATCTAACAAATCAAAATTTGACACTTATCAAATACATTATTAAAAATAATTTTTAAGAGTGAGAAATTGTTCTCTCAAGCATTTTTTTATGTTTTATACCCAAAAGTTATTTCATGTAGTTTTCAATTAAAAAAGACAAAGAAAAAGAAAGACATATAAACAAACAAACAAATTCCGTTTCAATTCAAAAAAAAAAAAAGAATTCGTTCAAAAAAAAAAAAAAAAAACAAACAAACAAACAACTTAGTGGTGATGGTGGGCCGGGTCAACTCCAATGGGCCCAACCCGAAACAACTTGGTCCTTGGCCGCCTCCATATATATAACAGCTCAAGCTCTCTCCGTGTTCACAATCCAGAGCTCTCAGCTTTCTCTGTAAGAACACCTCTCTCTCTCTCTCTCTCTCTCTCTCTCTCTCTATATATATATATATGTATATAGAAATTTGCTATTGAGTTTGATTGATATATTTTGTGTGTGTGTAGAGAGGGAGAGAGAGAGAGAGAGAGATTGATGAAATGGGGTTTGGTCGAGAAGTCCCAATCTCATTGGACGGAGTGAGAGACAAGAACTTGATGCAGCTAAAGAAGCTCAACACTGCCCTCTTCCCTGTTCGCTACAACGATAAATACTACGCTGATGCTCTCGCCTCCGGCGAATTCACAAAGCTAGGTCTCTATCTATACCCTGGGTTTTGCTTATTCTCCTTTAATCTTTGATGGGTCTTCTTGTTTTTGACTTGTATCGATCGCTATTCTCTGTGTGTGGCTTTTTTTATGAATTCTGGAGTTATTGGTTTATTGAGCAAGGGTAATTAATTGATTATTGGCTTGGCTTGAAGTAATGTTTTTTTTTTTTGGCTTTGGATTTGTTTAGTGGTTTTAGGGTTAATATGATGCAATGTTGAATTCATTAGCTGGGTTTTGGGTTTTGTTTATTGTTGCGTTTTGTTCACTGGGTTTTTCTTTCTATTGGTTTGGAAATGTTGGTTTCTTTGCTAGAATAGCAATTCAGACTTCAATAGTCACATGGTTCATTGAATTCATATCAGTAGGTTTGATTTATCCTTTGTGTTTCACTTATTGTTGATGTTGGATGCTCTGTTTCTGTTTATTTTTTTAAAATGATTTTAAGCTGTCATTGTTAGGTTATGGAGGTTTCTAGTTCTAAATTTGTTTTTTTGTTTGCCACTACAACTGACTATTAGGTTTTGGTTTTTGTGCTTAAGAAAATAGCAGTTTTAGTGTTTCTGTAGTTTGCTTGCATGTACTGGTTTGTTGCTGAGGCATAAATAGTGGATGTTGGCGGTTTTAGTAATTTGCACCTTAGTTGCACGAAGGGGGTGACGGTACGAGGGCATATAGAAGTTTTGAAGTTGGAAATGTCTATGGGAGCGTGTATATATTTTATATAGTAGATGCATGCAGTGGCGGAGGCACCTTAGGCCCAGGGGTCACGTGCCCCCTCCCCCCCAGGTTTTGGGACTTTTTTTATTTTTTTAAAAAGCATACAAAAATATTTGAAGAGGTTGTTTGGGATGTCCTAAATAAGTGTACTTTTTGATTTTTTATGAAATATAAGTTAAGTTTGAAGTGATGTGGTAGAGAGTTGATGTGACTTAAATAGGATGGTGTGACTTAAATAGGATAGTGACTTTTTAACTTTTTGGTTTTTTTGAAGATGCCAAACCAAGCCTAAATAAAAAAAAAAATTATAAAAATATCATTTAAAGTGAAATGTCAATGACATTTTAAAATTATGAAAATAATAATAATTATTTTGATTGAAAATAAAAAGATTATGATAAGTCATATTATTATTTATAAAAATTTCAATATAATGGTGATGCCTATCATTATTGACATACAAACATAATTAATTTCAATGAAGATATGGAATTTATTAGATTGTTCGTTGTTAGTTACATTTGACATGTGCAGTTTATCCTCCATGTGTTTCTTTCTATTCATAACTAAAATAACCACTATATAAATTATAATCAAGCGACATATCTTCAATTATAAAAAATAAAAAAATTACAATAGGTCATAATTAATATCAAAATGAGTACTATTACTTGATATATAGTCATAACCAAAATAACAGCTATAAGAAATTTTTTTTTTTTTTTTAACGAAGAAAGAGAGGAGGACAAGAAGTCCTCATACAATGAACAAGAATCCAATCAAAATAAAAACATCTATCAAAAAAAGAAAGAGAGAGAAAACAAGAAAATCCAAACAGTAGGGGTTGCAAATAGCAAACCAATCTCTAGAAATCAAGAAAAGTGGAACTCCTTTGAACGGAGGAGACACAAAAGCCCAAAATGAAGCCAAAAAACCAGCCCTATCCCACAAAGAATCTACAGTAGCCTCCTTTCCATCAAAGATCCTTGAATTCCTTTCCAGCCAAATAATCCAGAAAATAGCACAAACAATACAACAAGACTATAAGGTTTTGGCTTTCTCAAAGCCGCCGAACCCATCAAACTTACCGAGAAGCATATGTGTGCAATCCCATGGAGCAGCCCATTTAACATCACACAAACCAAATAGACGCTGCCATAACTGCATAGTCACCAAACAATGAAGACATAGATGATCCGCCGACTCCGAACTCCTCTTGCACATCACGCACCATTGAGAACAAAGACAGTGATTAGGCCTTCTCCGTTGAAAAAGGTCATTGGTCATGACACCTCTATGAGCTAAGGACCACATGAAAAACTTCACTTTATGAGGAACACCCGCTTTCCAGATTTTCATATGAAGAGGAAACAAAGGAACGGAACTATAAGAAGTTATAACTAAATTATACCTAACACTATAATGTGTTATAACTAAAGACCACGAAGATCATAATTGCGACATATGATAGATACTTTGGGTCCGTTTGTTTTGAGAGGTAGAATGAAAGAGATTCATAGTGAGGGGATTGTTAGTGAGATGATTAAATAAAATTGTGTTTGTTTTGATGATTGTTGTTAGTGTAAGAATTGTTAAATTATTTTTATATAAAATAATAAAACAAATAAAAAAGGAACTATAAGAAGTTATAACTAAATTATATCTAACACTATAATGTGTTATAACTAAAGATCACGAAGATCATAATTGCGACATATGATAGATAATTTGGGCCCGTTTGTTTTGAGAGGTAGAATGAAAGAGATTCATAGTGAGGGGATTGTTAGTGAGATGATTAAATAAAATTGTGTTTGTTTTGATGATTGTTGTTAGTGTAAGAATTGTTAAATTATTTTTATATAAAATAATAAAACAAATAAAAAAATATAAAAAATTAAACATTAATGTTAAAAAAAATGCCCATCATGTAAAAAATAAAAAAATAAAAAAAAAAATTCTAGTCCCCTCACTATTTTTCTAATACCACCTCCACCTCCACCTCTACCTCCACCTCCACTTTCTCTATCCCAATTCCCCTTCCAACCTCTATCTAAATCTTCTTCTCCATTCCAATCCCCCTTCCAACCTCCATCTTAATCTCCTTCTCCATTCCAATCCCCCTTCCAACCTTTATCTTAATCTCCTCCTCCATCCTAATCTCTTTCCAAACTCTACAAACAAACACAATACTAAATGGGTCCTACCTCCATCCTAATCACATCTCACCCTCTACACCCCAAATCAAACGGGGCCTTTTTTTGCTGTATGTTTTATAGAATTTCTTTACTAAAATATATCATTTCTATCTCAACTTATCTTATTTTTTAAATTTCCAATCCACCTATAAAATAGTTACTCCCCAATATTTGTATAAAATTTAATTTCAAATCCTTTAATTTAAAATTTACATTTATTCAAATGAACTCTGAATATTTAAGTTTTGTAATGTCTCATTGTTGTTTATTATGAAAAAATAAATAAATTAATGTTGTCATTAATTTGTGTCCCCTCTCCACTGAATTCTTGCCTACGCCACTGGATGCATGGATATCTTCTAACAATTTTTTTTTCTCCTAGTTGTAATATTTGTGTTAAACTATGAATAAATATTATAAATTGATGTTAACTACAAATTGTTTTTGTTAAGTATAAATAAATCTTACATAAATAGAAATATTAAAATAAGCTTGGGCTTTTTTTCTTTTGTTTCTTTGAGATTTGTATGTATGAGAGGTTGTATCTCAATTGGGAGCAGGTTTCTTACAAGTTTCCAAGGGAGGAGCGTTCTTGAGTAAGAAACGTCACCCAAATAGGAGTTTCTTGATTTCAGATTGTTGCATTTTCCGGATGTTGCTGCGAATAACATATTGAAAGTTATAATAATAGATAAATTTATTTGAAATCATTAAAAAATCCAAAAATTTCTTGAATATTTCTGAAATTTCTTTATTTTCCCGTCAAGTTATAAAGTAATTATCATAAAAATGCACAAGTCTATGCTCATTGGAGACTAAGATTCAAGAGATTGACATATTATGTAAGTTGTCTTTGTCAAATGCTTTCAGGGCATTATTTTTTAGATCCTACGAAGTCTATGCACATTAGAGACTAAGGGTCTGTTTGGGAAGTTGCTTTTTGATTTTTTGACTAAAATATGAGGTGAAAAAAATCAATATGTTTGGGAAGGATTTTTTGGCATTTTATGGGAAAACCTGAAAAAAGGAGTGTGAATGGGAAGAAATCTTTGACTTGTAGAGTGAATGGGAAGGAGTATTTGACTTTTTTGTTTGAGTTGAAAATTTTGGTTTTTTGGCTAAAATAGCCACTTGCCAAACAGAGCCTAAGTTTTCAAGTAAATTCAGTAAAGCAATTCTCTCCACAAAAGGAACCGTTGGTACAAAAAAAGTCTTTTTGGAGAATTCAGCAGCCTTCACCCAAAGGGTTTTGTCAAACCCAAAGACCCACAAGGCTACAAGTCTATATCTTTACATCTAAAGCGACAAATGAAACTTGTCAGAATGTTGGATGTAGTCATTGTGTCATTCTGTAAGGTTATGGCAATCCAAAATCCAGAATAGTTGAATCCACAAACCACCCCCTCTCCAAAAAAATATAAAATAAAGATGGAAGAGTAAACCATTGATAAATTTGAAGAGTAAATTTTAATATAGAATGCAAAATTGCTAGTTCTTAATATAATCTTCAACAAAAATGGTAATTTGCAACAAGCAATTTGGATAACACATAAAAATGGTTTTGAAGTTCAAAAAAAAATTTTGCAATTATAAATGAATATATAACACAACACTGACAGTGCACAATACAGTAGATGTAGAGGAGAAGAACAACATAGATAGAGAGGGGATGGAAGGAAGAGGGAGAGACATAATCTTTAACCAAGGGGGTGTAATCGTTTGTAAGATTTGATGTAAAGAATAGAAAAATATAAAATAATTTCTAATATAGGTGGGTGCAGCAGTTTTGTTGTCGTTGGTGATAGATGTAATACAGTAGCAATTTATTCACTGTTGGAGATAGATGAAAATAAGGCTTCCACTGACAATTGTATAAGGTTGGGTTGTTGGCTCATCAGGCTGAGATGAAGGAGATAGATGTAGCAGCAGAGTAGCAATTTAGTCACTGCTAGAGAAGGAAAGAATGTTTCCATTGACAATTGTTTGATGTTAGGTTGTTGCCTCGTCAGACTGAGATGATGGAGAGCGAGACACAAAGCTGAGGAATAAGGCATTGAATAAATTGGATTTGATTGTCCCTAACAATAACAAAATATACACAACTCGTAAATCTTTTAGTTAATGTGAATTGTGAACAGTTCAAATGAGTGATCAGTTGAATTGTGAGTTTAGATAATTTTGCAAAAAGAGAACAGTTTTCACATTGGAACAATTTAGGGTTTCATCTGAATCATTTCTTGGAGCAGTTCTCGGTTTTTCAATTGAACCAAGTGGTTCCAACTAGTTTTTAAAACTTTGTTTTAAAGAAATAAAGGTGTGGTGCATTTAGCCAATGAGATGCATCTAACTGATGCAGAGCATTCGAATATAAGGGCAAACATATGATTTTGCACAACTATGTTTAAGATCTCGTTCAATTAAGTTGTTTATTTTTTGGTGTAATTTTATTCTATTTATACGTCAGCATGCCACAGTCTTTGCCAGCATACTGCAGCACAGGCCGCAGCCTTGGCCAGCAGCACGCAGCCTTGGCCAGCATGCTGTAGCTCAGGCCGCAGCCTTGGCCAGCATGCCACAGCCTTGGCCAGCAGCACGCAGGGATTAATTGAAGTGTGATTGTCGTCTAATTGACTTAGCTGAACATATATATATAGGCTAATAAAATTCCATAAGCAAACAAATACTAAGAAATAAAATCTTAATTAAAAATGCCTTTACATTCCCCATCACCAACTTTTCCTCATCTTCTCCTCTACTAGTTCTACTCTTTACTTCTCACTAATACATATAGTTTATTTTCTCGTATTCTTGTCAATTCTCATCCTTCTTGAGACCCCCTTTAGTTATGCTTATTGCTTATTTTTTTGACTTCCTAGCATTCATACAAATGGAAGAAAGAACTTTTCTTTTTTCTTTTTTTTTAAATTTTAGGGCAGCTTGACCCAATGTAAGGCTTGCTGTTAGCCTCCATAGTGCAAGTTCGAGTCACATAAACCACCTCTCCAGAAATGGAAGTTAGGTTGGGTACATCTTGCCCTCGCTATTTTTTACTCAAACATTTAGCAGATATTCGTTTTAGATTCAGTGTATCAATTGGTGATTTGTCCTTGGTCTTACTATAGCTGAGGGTTGGGAAAAGTGATTTAAATAATTGACTATATTTACCTAACTATACTAGTTGTAGGTAGCAGGTTATGGGTTCTTGCTAAGATGGTAGTCCATATATGATGGGCTTCAAGTTGGAGGAGTTGGGCTCCAGTGAGGCAGAGAGTGAGAATTTGGCACTAGTGGTGATTTCAATCCAAGAGTCACACCAAGGAGCAGCTTCGGAAGTCGAGGCCGACTTTATGCCCAAAGTGCTGATTGGCAAGCTTTTCAATACACGAGGCACCAAGACAGCTTTGGAGGCACTCATAGTCAAGCTGACTTTTTGCCCAAAGAGGCAGATTGTCCTGCAAAAATAGGAATCACATCTACAGTGACCAGTAACAGTGGGCCAAGTAGGCAAAATTGACCAGGATATGTAGTCTAGGTGTGCAGTGACAAATAGTAAACCAGGCACACATGACAGATGTAACTAGCCACCTCTGGTGCCAAAGGCAACTATGTCAGGTGTTCTACAGATTCAGTCATTGTGGATGACGAGCGCAAGACACTAAAGATCTCTCTTCTCCCTCTCTAGGATTGCCAAGTCGCAACCTGCAGCCCTGCATCACTATGGGCCCATTTGGTGCAACTTCTTGCAAGCTGAAATCTAATAATAAAAAAGGAGAAGTTAAAAGCACTCATTTCCTACTTTTCTAATGATCAGTTTTTTTCAACTTATACATAAGTTATTTCAACCCCATAAGTTGTAAGCCGAAGCTGCACCAAACGCTGACACATTTTTCTGAAATAAAAAAGTTATAAGCAGTAGCACCATAAGCTGCACGAAACAGGGCCTATCTACTTAACCATGGAACCCGAGGATTCCAAGGTCTGCCAAACAATCACCCAGATCATGCAGATGCGTGCTGTACTTGAACTCTCTGCCCCTTGCTTTTCACCCAAATTGGCATTAATGCATCATGTCTTGTGTGTTCAGGGACAACTTTGATTGAGGGGTTGGTTGAGGTGATACAGGTCTGTCCGCAAGACCACCTCTGTTATGGCCTTGGTGTCTAATTCTGAGAACAAGGTACATACTGCATTTGTTGGCCTTGCATAGGGGGCAGTTTCCTGTCTCCAGGGTGTGAATGGCAATTTTATAAAAATCAGTTGATACTCAGTTATGTGGCAGCATAATGGTATCATAGAGACCCTGTTTCTCTGTCTGAGGTAGAGTGGCTGCTATGGTCTTGTATTTTCTGTACGGTTCATTCCAGTACGTCAGTCACCTCAAAGGTACTTTTAGACCAAGTTTTCCTTATCTTTTAACATTCACAAATTTTGTAATTGATCATTACTCATTGACAGATACTCCTTATAATCTCATACAGTGATCTTGACCACTCATTGCACTTTCATGGTTTATTGGGCAGAAAAATGTGTTAGGAGTTTTCTAAACCACTTGCTTAATGGAGATAATGCCATGTAGTGTTTTCTAGAAGAATCTTATGTAGACCTCTTATTAGAGACAAGTGATTAATTTTTCAGATTTTCTGAAATGAATACCCTGATATTAATGGATCAAGAATCTCATATTATTATTTAGTGACTTTGATTATTGCCACTATTCTCGTGAAGAATATCTGAATCTGAGCAAAATCTGTTCCAAAACCATAATTTTCTTCGTGATTCATGATACATTCTACAGTCCAAGTGTTCTCTTTGATTAGAATAAAACACTTTGAGACCTGGTACTTGCTATATATAGGGTGTAGTATTATGTTGTCTTTTTCATAGTAATGTGGTAATATCTGTTTACAATGACAAACTTGTAATGCTTGTTTACATCTTGGAGTGGGGATTTTCCATGTCCAATGCCCAGGATGTGTTGGAGTTTCATAGCCCTGAACATTCAGATATCTCTTCTCAAGTTTTAATTCTTTTCCTCCCTATGCTCAGCGTACTACAGTGACATTTGTGTCGGTGCAATTGCATGTCGGCTTGAAAAGAAGGAAAGTGGGGCTGTCCGTGTATACATCATGACATTGGGTGTTTTGGCACCATATCGTGGGCTAGGTATTGGTAAGTGAATCTGTTTCTTTCCCTCCTCTGCTTCGTCTCTTCTATGGGAATTGCTTAGAAAACCTTAAAAGAACTGCTGTTTGAATATCATTGTTCCAAGAGAAGTTATTGGGCGCTCTTGGAGCTACCTAGACCAATCACAACCCCCATGCTAGTGGGCCCCATCGTTCTGTGTTGGTTGGTAGTGACCCCAACTAAGAGGGGAGAGATTATTGGGTGTTTGGGTGTTCCTTGAGCAAAGACACATTGTGCTCCAGGACCCGCATTCAATCATATACAGCCACCCTTCTTGGTGGTGATGCCACTGTCACTTTGTTTGTTTCAGCAGCAATATTTTTTAGAAAGTGTTCTCATTTTTTGGTATTTTGTACAATAGAAAACAGAAGTCCAGAAAACAAGCTTATTTAGGTAGAAAATAATTTTTACTTTTATAAAGTGGAAAACGTTTTTCATATCAAAATCTTACTAATATCACCACACTACCACCATCGCTACCGCTGCTGCCGCCTCCACCAATCCCGTCATGATGTCTACCACCCACCATCACCACAAACACTGCTGCCTCACCACCACCACCAATACGATGACTAGCACATAAGCCTCATAGTTGCATCCAAACATAGGAAAGTGTTTAGAAAACATTTTATGGAAAAAGTTTTTGTAAAAAGGTTTTGCCAAAACAAACGAAGCATGTGTTGTGTCAGGCCCACCAGCAGGGGTGGGGCATTTATGATTGGTTGTGAGGGCTCTAGGAGCACCACGTAATCCTGCTCCAAGAGCAAAATTTTCATAGTAAGGGGCTGTGTGATTGGTCTAGGAGGGGCTCCTAGAGAGCACCTATTATTTTTCCCATTCCAAATGGAGTCATCATATCTGCCCAGTCGACCTAACTGACACAACCGAACTAGGGATGAAAGTTGACGCCGGAATAGCGCAACCCCTAGCAGAAGGCACTCAGTCAGACTCCAAGGCAGACCAGACTAAAGACAGCAAGGACGAAGCAAACCAAGACTCACCAACAAATAAAGACTTGGTACAATCAGATAGCGAGGGGCAGACAGCAAGCATGGACCTTGAAGAAAACACCAGCAACATTCTTGACCCCACGACATCATCTGACCCCTCCACTTGTTGGAAGTTGTTCGTTGGAGAGATGTGGAAGCTCTTTGTGGATGGAGCATCCAACTGGCATGGAGCAGGACTTGGCATAGTCTTCATCTCACCAGACGGCCTGGTTGTGGAGCAAGCAATCAACCTTGGCTTCCCAACATCAAACAACGAAGCGAAGTATGAAGTACTCTTTGCAGGACTCAAAACAGCATCCTACATGAAGGCCACCGAACTAATGGTCTACAGCGACTCTCAGCTGGTGGTAAACCAAATTTCTGGCTACTATGAAGCAAAGGATGACCGGATGGCCAAGTACCAAGAATTGGACAGAATAGAGATCAAGAAATTTGAAGTAGTGAGGATAGAACAGATTGGCAGGGAGGAAAACAGCAGAGCAGACGAACTAGCAGGCTTCGCTTCAATGGCAGATACTTTCATCCCTCATCCGTTGCTCATCGACTAGTTACCAAGACCAAGCATTGATGACCTCGAAGCAGAAGAGGTATGTTGCGCCGAGCTAGGCCCCTCATGGATGGATCCCATCATACTGTTCCTAAAAGATGGCATCTTACTGGAAGAAAAGAAAGAAGCCAACAAAATTAGAGCAAAGTCGCAGCGATTTTGGCTCTCCCCATCTATGGCATTGTACAAAAAGTCATTCTCAGGACCCTATCTAAAGTGTGTTCACCCCAGCAAAGTGGAAGCATTCTTATACGAGATACACGAAGGGGTGTGCGGAAGCCATCAAGGAGGAAGATCGCTAGCTTACAGGGCCATTTCACAAGGATACTGGTGGCCATACATGCAGGCAGACTCAGAGAAATATGTGAAGAAGTGCAAGAAATGCCAAAAATTCGCACACCAAATACATCAACCAGCTAGAGAACTCCTACCATTGAGTAGCCCATGGCCTTTCGCAATGTGGGGCTTGGACATAGTGGGACCACTTCCAATAGCACCTGGCAACAGGAAGTTCTTTCTCGCAGCAACAGACTACTTCACAAAGTGGGTGGAAGCAGAAGCATTAGCATCAATCAAGGAAAAAGATGTGAAGAAGTTTGTCTAGCAAAATATCATTACTCGATTCGGCATACCTAAAGCCCTCATATCAGACAACGGCACCCAGTTTGATGGCAAAATCTTTAGAAGCTTTTGTGAAGAATACAAGATAGAGTTCTACAATTCGACACCAGCATATCCTCAAGCAAATGGCCAAGCAGAAGCATCAAACAAGGTTGTCTTTGATGGACTGAAGAAAAGGTTAGAGAAGGCAAAAGGCAAGTGGGCGAAAGAACTTCCTCATGTTTTATGGGCTTACCGCACCACACCTCGACGATCAACAGGAGAAACACCATTCTTCTTAGCCTACGGAATGGAAGCAGTAATCCCACTGGAAGTTGGCCTCCCCACAATTCGAAGCGAAAATTTTGATCCCGACTTGAATGGAGAAGCCATAACATTGGAGCTCGACCTCGCTGAAAAAAGAAGAGAAAGAGCACTAGTCCACATTGCCTCATATCAACAAGAGTTATCCAGGAAATACAACAAAACAGTACATCCAAGGCAATTCAAGATCGGAGATTGGGTGCTGCGCAAAGTGATGGGAAACACCCTGGTGTTAGGAGATGGCAAGCTAGGGCCTAATTGGGAAGGTCCTTACAAAGTGGTTGGGTTAGCAGGCAAAGGGGCATACCACCTAGAAGACAAGGACGACAAAGCCATTCCAAGGCCATGGAACACTGCCAATCTCAAACTATTTTATTTTTAGCTTTTTTTACGAGTATATGTAATTTTCCTTTCTCTTAATAAATCAAAGTCAATTCTTTTCAGCATAATTATTTTTTGTATAAGATTGTATTAGTGAGTTAGGGACATCAAAAGTAAGGTTGGTTGGAAAAACCAATCTAAAGGTTGGCTGGATTAAACCAACACCCTTCCTAAGCCCAGGATAAGGATCCAGGTTGCAGGACGTTTGGTCGGAATAACCAAACATTTTACCTTAGGTTGGCTGGAAAAACCAATCTAAAGGTTGGCTGGATTAAACCAACACCCTTCCTAAGCCCAGGATAAGGATCCAAGCTGCAAGACGTTTGGTCGGAATAACCAAACATTTTACTTTAGGTTGGCTGGAAAAACCAATCTAAAGGTTGGCTGGATAAAAACAACTCTTGATACTCTTTAGCCGAAGTAAGGACATCGGCTAAAGAGTGGTTGGCTGGAAAAACCAATCTAGAGGTTGGCTGGATTAAACTAACTCTAAATACTCTTTAGCCGAAGAAAGGACATCGGCTAACGAGTGGTTGGCTGGATTAAACCAACTCTTGGTACTCTTTAGCCGAAGTAAGGACATCGGCTAAAGAGTGGCTGGCTGGATAAAACCAACTCTTGGTACTCTTTAGCCGAAGTAAGGATATTGGCTAAAGAGTGGTTGGCTGGATAAAACCAACTCTTGGTACTCTTTAGCCGAAGTAAGGATATCGGCTAAAGAGTGGTTGGCTAGTAAGTCCAGTCAGATTGCTCAGCCAAGACCGGAATAAAGTATCTCGGCCACTCTACTATTAGAAAGCAAGCTCAAACAGGAATTTAAACCGAGATAACAGTTGGAAGTGAAAAGATCATGGAAAAGTCATTACAGGCACAAGCATACAGATCAAACCGGAATAACAGTTAGCACAAAAGCAGATCATTCTCATTAATCAAGTTTAAAGCGATTACAAGGGGGGCCATAGCCCGGTTACAAGTAGAAGAAAAAGAAAAAACATACAAATTAATTAAAAAGGTCTTCAAGATCGGCTTCAATATCAACTTGAACACCGGTTGCAGATGGAAAATCAGTCTTAGTAGCAACTGGCAGCACGGTGTCAGTCGGCGGCTCAACAGTTAGGTCTTCAAACGTTGGCTCCAACCGAGCTGGTTGACCGTTGCCTTGCTCGTTGACTACCGGAGTGTCAGTTGGCTCATTCTCTTCATCATCGTCGTCAGACGCTTCAAGGAATTACTTCTGTAGATCGGATGCATACTCCGCCAGTGTGGCCGGAATAAAATACTAAGGAGCATTGAAGACCTCGGTGTCGGAACCGCAACCGAGCTGCTCCACAGCACCCCTCCAGCCGCCCTTGAAGAACAAGTCCTTCACAGCTTCACACTGCTGGATGTATGCAGCTTCGCCTTCCTTGAAGCCCTTCACCTCTGCATCTTCAGCTTTCTTCTTCAAAAGATTTATTTCGGCGTCTTTAACACCCTCAAGTTTTGCGAGCTCCCGCAAATACTTGTGTTTCATCTCAGTTAGGGCTCTCTGTCTGTCAGCATCGGTCGAAGCAACTAAGCCGGTCAGACGAGTCACCTCGGCCTCCAGCTCGGCCGTCCTCACTTGTTCTTGTTTGAGCTCGGCGGTTTTGGCCTCGGCCTCTGCCATGGCCTCCCTTGATGTTCTCCTGAGCTCCAACACCCGCTTGTGTGCAATATGGTTCTTCTGGATGGCCTGCAATAGAATTGAAATTCTCCTTTTTAGCCGAACTGAAAGTAGGAACAATTAGAAAGGTACAAAAGCAAAAGAGAGTGCTACCTACCAGGATCATGGATTTTGTTGAAGATCGGATGGCCTTCAGCTCGGTGTTTAGCTGATTATGGTGCTCCATGTCCTTTGGAAGGCATACACTTTTGGCATGGTTGAAGGCCAGTATGTGATCCTTCTCAGCAACCACCGAATCAGTTTCCTCAATATCTCGGTTCTGAAAAGTGAGCTTCGGTGCCCACTTGGA